CTGAAATTTATTGTTATAAAACACTCTTTTGTTTTATTTTTTTCTCTAAATATTTTAGTTTTTATATTTTTCTCTAACTTATTTTTTCCCTAATAAGTGTTCACGAATCCTGGTCGTTCGTTACTAATAAAATATTTATAACAACTACACTTTATTTTTCATCTAATAAATTCCAATAGTATAATCATAAAAATCGATATCAAATAATTCAAATTCCAATTCATAAATATACAATTCATTTAATAAAATCTCCGACTGATTTCATATAAAAAAATCACACACTGAAAAAAACATTATTTTTCCAATAAAAATATATTATCCAAAGAATAAAAATATGATTGACATTTCTTGAAAATAAAAAACATTTATTATTTATCTCTTTAATTCAACATTTGCAACGATAGTTACTTCAGTTAACTAACTAATTAACTAACAATATCTTTGGTAATCTATTAAAATAACTAACAATATATTTGAAAATATATTGGCAATTTTTTGGTTTTATCAATAGGACAAAACACCTATTAAAAAAAAAATACGAACTAGAGGGACGATACCCCAAAAAAATTAATTTAGGTATATTAAAAAAAATGTTTCTGAAAATGATTTAAAAAAAAATATTATATAATCAAATAATGATTGATTATGATTAATTGCTTTTTAGCAATGCATTTTAGCTATGCAGTTTAGCAATGCAGTATTTAGTCATATACCGCTAAAACTATTATAGATACAATTTGATTCAAATTTTATTTTAAAGATTAAGAATTGCGCTACATTATGATATTACTTTTAATTCCTCGTTGAAGCTAGTCTTGTTAGATAATAATAAGATTTATACCCTGTGGTAAGGGAATATCCATCATTTCTAGGGAAATTACTTTGTCATATTAAAATTATCTTCAGTAATAATTTTTGTAGACATGCAAATTATTTTGACTGGCTTTATAATGCAGATTTTAATATAAAATTAAATAAAAAAGATTATGATCTTAAATAATTTAATATGTATCAATTACTTCTATATTTGTAACGAACTACAGCTATTGGTATATTTTTTTAAAGTAGAGCGCTAAAGCTACCTATACTGAAAAAACGCTCTACACTACTTTAACAAAACTGATTATTACCAACCAAAAAAAATTGTTTTTCTAACCTATAGGCCTGAAAGATTGTAAATTTGCGAGATTATAAATGGTAGCTTATTATTGTTGTAGCTGTTGAAAAAAGAAGAAATAAATTTAATTTAATACATCAAATGTCAGTTATTTTCTGACAGGGGAATTAAGTTTTCCTTGTGGATAATGGAAAATGTGATCATTACATGTTTGGTTTTTAAGGATTCCTTTGTTAGCTATTTTGGAGTGAAAATATTGGATTTAGTGGAGAAGATGTCAGCTGGGAGAAATGAAGAATGGACCTGTGGGAATGAAGAACATGTGAAGCGGGATAATTATGATTTATGATATTTATATTCTTTTTTAATGGATAGATAAATGTGCTATGAATAAAGTTGGATCGTTTATTATAAGATTTTTTAAATATTACTATGGCATCGTTGTCCGGCGAATATCGCGGTTAAAGGCCGTAGAATTATTTTAGGGGGGGGGGGAGATTTTGCAGGGGGGTTTGCCTACAGCAAATTTTCTGCTATGTTGACGCTGCATTTTATAGGAGATGACTCTAATGTAATTTTAAAAAAATTCATGAGCCTTCTGAGATTGTAAAAGCTAGTGGTACCATTGTCATTGTGCATAATATAAAAGGAGCAAGGCTTAATTTATTGACTAATTTTTTTTTACCAAGCTGTTAATGCTAAGGCTTGATGTGGGCTACGGTTAATATTTGCCTATTATTAGATATGAGTAAGAACTATATTTTACTAGATACCAAGCTCACTGCATAAAAGACACTTAAGGCCGCACGAAGCAGATCGAAATAGCCATACTTTTGACTTATATTAAGCTCGTAGAATATGTTAGAATCTAGCATAGGACTAGGCGACAAAGATTAGGGTTAGTGTTTATATTAGATGAGGAGAAATACTCATTTTATTAGACACCAAACCAACTATATTTGGTAAAATTTTATGGAAACCAATTGGCAGCTTCGCGCTGCCGCGGTTTTGAAGGCTGATCAAGGACCACATAAGGAGTTAAGGCTATGCAATGTAAATAAGGGCTATTGTTTATATTAAAAAATGAAAAGTATTTATATTGTTTTATAAAAATTACTTCAATAGGGAAAAAGTAATCTCCCAAAATTTTCTTGCAATAATATAATCTATTAATACATTTAAATATTTTTATCAGTTATTTTTATCTAAATAAGGATTTTTCCCTAAATGTACCTCCCCCCTCCTTATTTTAACCCTCCCCCTTCAAATAAATTGGAGGCAAATCGCTCATACACACTTTATATGTAGAAATTGTATGTGGGTAAATATTTAAAGATGTCGATCGATCCTGTAACACACTTTTATTTAAAAATATACTATTAAGCTAAAACCAAACTAGTAAGATTAAAAATTAGACCAAATTAATAATTACTCTAAAATATAATTGAAAAGTGGACAAAATTATTTAAATAAATTTGGATCAAATTCTTTCATTATTTATAATTCGAAATGTTGAGATATAAATATTGTCATTTTCATTATGTTATTATTATTTCACAACTTTTTATTTTGTTAATCTTAATGCGTTAATATGATTGTATCCTTATATTGCAATTTTACATAGTGATTATATTAAAGATATTCAGGCGCGTAACCAATGGGGGGGGGAAAGGGGGAAATTCCTCCCCCATCGCAATATCTGACTATTTTCATAAATATCATTTTAAGCTAATAAAAATTTTACCCCCACCCCCCAGATTCCCCCCTCCCCCACCAATCAAAATTTTACAAATATTTGAATATCAATTTTCCAACATATTATTCAAAAATATTAATAAAATGGAAAAATATTTAGTCAAAGAGATTAAAATCAAACGATAATTTATAAATAAGGCTGAGCATGAAAAAAGTAATGTGTCGTTAGCAGCGATATCATTATTGAATTCAATTGATCAATCAGAGTTTATCATTGCTGCTAGTTGCATCAATAAATTATTTTTAGCTCACTACTTTGTAGAAATTTACAAAAACCAAATTTAGATTTGGTTCAAGTTATTGATTTGGCGGATAATTGGAAAATCAAAATATACATGAACAGGTAGATACAATAAGAATGAATGTAGATAAATATTTTCATAATATTTATCTAGACGTTGAATCGAAGGCTAAATTTTATGATATAATACTAATTAAACCTCGTCTAGCACCTAGGCCATTATTGAGATGAAAATAAATATTGGCTCAACTGAAGAATATTATAAAATATCCATTTTCATCCCATTCTTAGATACTTTTTTATAGCAAATAAAAGTACGGGTTTTAGATAAAAAACAAGTCTTTAGCAATCTTCAAGTTTTATTACCCAAAGATCCTTCTTCATTTTCTAATGCCACTATTGGTAAAATTAAATATTTAAAAAAATTTTATTCCTATGAGATTGATAATAAAATAAATTTAATCAGTGAATTCGAATTGTGGTATAAATATTTATACGTTTAGCTATTTTACCTGAGCATGCTATTGATGCGCTCAATCGGTGTAAAGAAACCTTGGCTCAATTTCCTAATATTTCGAAGTTGTTTTATAATTTTGCATGTTTGCCTATTACAACATGTACGAATGAAAGGACTTTTTCCAACTTGAGAAGGTTGAAAACATATTTACTAAGTACTGAATCTCGGCTAAATGGGTTAGCTCTGTTAAATATACACAGAGATTTGGTTCCAAAGACAAACGAAATAATTAAAAATCTTGTATTTGATAAGAAGTTAAAAAAAACTTGTTAATTTAATTATTTTCTAGTCAATATTTTTAACTACTATTAATATTTTCAATAAAAAAAATTATATTCTACTTATATTGTATGAGAATTTAAGCTGAGGCTAGTTTTTAAAGCAAATTTTAAAAAAAAATGACATTACACTTTATTTCAACTTTACACATAAATAAACCTTTACATTTAAAAAAACTTTATTAAATATAATATACCTAACTTGAAATAATAAAAAAGAGGCTTGTAATATCCTATCCATAAGCACGAATTAGTAAATAATAGTTAAAAATAGAAATATAATTATATCTAAATAAGACCCGGCCGAAGGCCAGGTAAAAGGTTTTTTTCCCCCCTATAAGAAAATCCTGGATACGCCACTGAAGATATTATATTACATATATATACATTATACATATATATAGCAGTGATGAACTAAGAAGAAATAATGTAACCAAAGATTCAAGTAATTTAATACGAAATGATTGTTGGGTGACAATATATAGTTAATGTTATTCCTAATAAAAAATTTAAAATTCCTTAACTATGTGGATACTTTATCATGCAGTATTACCATGTGTGATAGGTGTTTTTGTCTTATGATTTTGTACACGATTAATTATCGATGGAGTTTGATAAATAAATAATTTGTTAAATGTAATATTCATAATTAATAATGGATTAGATTCCAGATCGTTGTATCAAAATATGAAAAAGTAATCATCGTTCGCGAAAGAAATTTTTTCATAAAATATAGTCCATAGGAAACTAAGATATGAAAGATTTTTGGAAATTTTTTAAATTCATATTTATATATACTTTAATTTCTATAGATATCTCTGGAATTTTGTGACATTATTTTTAAAATATAATACAAATAAAAAATTTATTCATATTCGTAATAAAAAAAATTTAATTTTATATAAATTTATTTAAAAATCCTCCCCCTCCTCCTCCGCCAAATTTTTAAGCAATATACCATTGTTCTAGAGGACCTAGCGCTTAAATCAAGCATCATATAAATACTTACTACCTTATTAGCCTAAATGTTAAATTATCTATGTCACTTTTCTTTAAGAGACCGTTCTATCTAACGTCGCAAAGTATATTTTTATATTTTCTAGGAGACATATAAATCATTCAAAACGGTGACACGCTTTTTTACAAATATATTTTTTGAGAATCATATGGGAGCCTCTCAAAGTTTGGAAATACCAGGTGGTGGTATTGAGGGATATCATGTTTTAAAAGTATTTTATACACTTATATACAAATAAACTCGTATCTTAGACTGGCTTAATTTTTGTTATTAATTTTAGTATTTAAAAAAAAACAACTTGTGCACCCTTTTGGTTTATGATTTTGAGGTGGATAATTTTAAATACACTTAAAAGTGTACTTATTTTTATATTTTAAAAATTACTATTTAGAATTTTAAAAAGAAGTAAGATACTTGAATGCAGCCACTATTTTATTTAGCATAGAAGCTAGTTCATTTAATTTAGGGTAATTTTTTATTTAATGCATTATTAAACTAAGTAATTTTATATGCTCTATTTTATAATAAGTATATTATAATGGATATTTGTATCAAATTATAGGTTCAACAAAACTCCCCAGGATATTATGCTGGTTTGGATGCCTTTTTTGATTTTATTGTTGCAGTTGAGAATACCAGACTTGTAAATTAGTAATATTATGTATCTTATAATTTGTATCAGAATAAAGATGATGACACATTCAAAGAAATATTAAAGGCAAACTTAGAAAAACCAATTGAATTAATAGTTTACAATAGCAAGATGAAAAAGGTGAGAAATATTGAGATAACTCCCAGTACAATGTGGGGTGGGCAAGGTCTTTTGGGTGTCAGCATCAGATTTTGCTCTTTTGAAGGTGCAAATGAAAATGTTTGGCATGTTATGGTAAAAACTTATTTAGTTTATCTATATTTTAAAATTTTTATTAAGGATGTAGAACCAAATTCTCCTGCTCAAAGAGCTGGATTGATTTCTGATTCAGATTATATCATAGGTGCAGATACCATGTTATACGAGGTAACCATTATTAACCTTTTAAAGCACAATAATTTATTAAATTATAGGCAGATGATTTTTATAATGTGATTGAGTCCCATGAAGGGAGACCTCTGAAACTGTTTGTCTACAATGTAAAATGTGATGAATGTAGGGAGGTCATGATAACACCCGATAAAAATTGGGGTGGCAAAGGAAGGTAACTTCGAATATTCTCTTTCTCTAAATTTTTGGAATTATTATTTTTAAAGAGAATTTTGTTAACTTTTTAAAATATGTTGTAGTGTATAGAGGTCTTTAAAATTTAATCAGTTATAGTACACACTTTATGGTTCAATCTAGTTACAATTATATTCCATCTCAATCAATTTTGGCATATAATTATTGGTTAACTTATTAGTTCACTCTTAAATCTTTCAATAACAGAACTCATCCACAAGATTATTAACAAACTGAATATCTAACTTATGTATTCTTCCAGATAAATGTCTATATTCTTCCCTTAAGCTCTGGGATGCCAGTATTGAATCACCCTCTCCCCCTCTTCATGTTTGTCAAAAGATTTGGATTTTCTGTTTAATAGATGTTGCATTGTATTTTATTATTGACAACCATAAAGATTAATTCACTTTCGTTTGCTAATTTTAAAATTGTATGAATAAATTGAAGCTATTCTCAGCAAAAATATCGGTCTTCACCTATCTTCCTACCAATTAAAAATATTAATCAATATTCATACTGGTTTCGATATCGTTATCATTACACTTGTTCTCTTTACAACATCAGAGTTGATGAAATTGGATATCATCCATTACACTGATGATTCTCTTCACCAATGGCATAACACAGTTAGCAATATAATATTCCACTCTAAGGAGAGACAGCATACCATGCTTTCGGTGGGGGAAATAAAAAAATAACGAATAAATATTCAGAGCTAAACACTATTAAATACTTTTGTTTTGTCACATCAATTCCTGGAAATTTGGTCACGAGGCACTTTCTTACCTGAGTAAGATAGGAAGAAAGATTGCCCATCTCACTTGCAATCCTAAAGAATATTCCTTTCTATATTCGCCAAAAAATTGTTAGGTACACAATTTCGACCAAAATTTGTAGGCGCGTTATATATGTTTTAGTATCACATGGGTAAAGCTTATTATCAATAATATTTCCTGGAATAATAAGGATTTTAGGTTATAAAAATCGGTTTTTTTTTAAAATCTTTTACTGAAGCTTAATTATTTCTAATATTTAATCAATCAATAATTTCGTGGCTGGATAATATAAAAATTAGAATAGCGCGAAATTGATAAAAAAAGATATAGTGGTGTTTATATATTTAAGTTAAATATTCGAATTAATTCAATTTTTTTTAAAAAAAAATCCGAATTTTTGTGCCTTTTAATTCGCATTGTCTCGGGTAATTTAATTACTAAAAAGAGCTAAAATTTCGTTTCAGATATTACTAGAACACACATATACATAACATGTAAGGTGCCTACAATTTTTTATCGAAATTGGAATATGGATCTGTTTGATTCCAAATAGAATGACTCTGGCTTAGGAATTTGCCATTCAAATCTCTTATATTTGTGGCTCCTTATAACCTATGATCCTTCGTTTATAATAGTATCGTTATTATTTAACCTTTTCAGTTTCGTTTTGCTTTAACATATATCTAACGCGTATATAACGTATTGAGCGCAAATTTAATACAAAGTTTAAAATTGTCGGAATATATAGTATATAGAGATGAACATAGCCGGAACCATTCTGTATTGTGGTGACCTGGCTCATTATAAAATTGTGTAAGGTTGCCAGACCCTTGAGTTAATAAAACATTGCACTTGGTTTGACCGAACCCTAAAAACGTTTTACGCTAGATTTTTGGGTCCTAACAGATCTATGAGTGGCAAACACCATGCTGGAATAAAAAAATTTGGTTAAAGTCAAGTCTTTTTAAAAAAATTTTTGAAATGTGTGCTATAAATGATTTTAAATATTCATCCACCTCTTGTGATGAATACTGTATTGCACTAAATATACAAAATGATAATAATGCGTTAATTAATTAATTTATTTTTTAATCCTCGAAAAAAGTTTGGGCTGTGGAATCGGTTACGGTTATTTGCATCGCATTCCGTACCAAGAAATCAAGAGGCACCCCATCGACCCCGCCTTGAGGGAGAAGGCGCAAATTAGGAATAATGAAGTCAGTTATATTTTCATTCGTGACGTTACAATTTTTAATGCAAGAATTGTCGTAAATTTATATTTTACTTCCCTTATATGATACCCAAGTTTTGACGTCCCTTCTGTGTTGGGGAGTTAATCTATTTGTTAATTGATAAGATCAAAATCATATTTTTCTTTAAAAGAGAGGCAGTCTTATCCATGTCACTTTTACCCTTAATTACGACATTACAGATGTCCTCCAAATATAAAAATCAATATTATTTATTATATATATATATATGATAACTTGCATTGTTAAAATAAAATATTATCATTATTAAATTCGAAGGTATTCGAAGGAAACCTAGACCTCTCTTTGAATGGTAATGGGTTAGTACTAATAGCGCCTGAATCCGTTACCCCGACCCCTACATTCGATCAGCAGGCCACACCGTCTCCTTCCAATCTCCTCAACAATGCCAATTCAGCAGTTACTTTTTCCAATGTTTTTGACAAAATGAATACTACTCATCTTTCTGCCAACCCGTCTCACATGCCACATTCTTCGGAGGAGATGTCAAACATGTCGCACTCGTCTAACAGTCTCCCCTCTTCGAATTCGAACGTTGGGTCCATCCATCCTCCCCACATTTATACGAAAGATGGCGTAGATAACAAAGGAACTGTCTACGTAGCATCGGGTAGTATTTATCGCAAATTTTAATTTTTTTTTTTTTGAAATCGATAGAAAATTCTCATTGTTTGGGACAGGCACCAGCCACCTCTAATAGGGAATTTATCGATGGAGTTCTGGACAGGGTTTTACAAAAATCTTCAAATAAAAATTTGAAGATTTTTTTCGCCCAAAATTTTGAGGAAAAAATCTTTGAAGATCAATTTTTTGCGAAGATTTTTTCGCTAAAAAAATTTTGAGCTTGCTCAAAGAAGATTTTTGAGCAAAATAAAAAATATTTTTTGTAAAAAAATCTTCTATAATTTGAGAAAATATTTTGAGAATTTTATAATAAATAAAATCTTTTGTAAGGAAATCTTTATTAAAATATTTTTGAAATTTTGATCTTAAAATTTTTTGGTAAATTATTTAAAAATAAAATTTTTGATATATATTTTTTTTTATTTTATTATGTTAATGAAAATATTTTTTTTGAATAGGTTGTAAATGTGAGAATTGGTCATAATACCGACTGCATTTTTTTTAATATTTGGAATAAGTAATAATGATTATTTTAAAAATGTAATGTCATAATTTTAATGTTTTATATTTAATGTAAACTATAAAAGTGACAATTGTCATAATACTCATCTCAGAACCTTTAAAAATAATTATAATTTAAAAAGGCTAGTTGAGCATGTTTTGAGATGGTTTCAGTGATTGTAAAGCATATAAAGGTGACAATTGTCATAATACTTATTTCACATATGTTTTAATTGGAAATAGAGAAAAATGATTATTTCAACATGAATTAATATAATGTGTAAACTATAAAAGTGACAATTGTCATAATATTCATAACAGAACCTATAAAAATAATTTTATTTTTAGGTATTAAATAGGCGAGAAAAAATTTTTTGAGCATGTTTCGAGATGGTTTTAATGATTGTAAAAATTTTCACAATCGTTATTTTTGAACTTTTTTAAAGCAAGTAGATAAAAATTTATTAAATATAAAATTAAATGTGGATGTACCATAGAGCAGTGACAATTGTCATAATCGTTATTTTTGAACTTTTTTGAATTTTTTTGAAGCAACAGAGTAAAATAATAAATTGTAAACATGTTAAATTGAAATTTAAATGTGGATGTACCATAGAAAAGTGACAATTGTCATAATCGTTATTTTTAATCTTTTTTGAATTTTTTTGAAGCAAAAGGGTAAAATTATATATTGTAAACATGTTAAATAAAAATTTCAGTGAAGATGTACCATAGAAATGTGACAATTATCATAATTGTTATCTTTGAACTTTTTTGAATTTTTTTAAAGCAAATAGGTAAAAATATATATTGTAAACCTGTTAAATTAAAATATCAGTGAATATGTACCATAGAAAAGTGACAATTGTCATAATCGTTATTTTTAATCTTTTTTGATTTTTTTTGAAGAAATTATATATTGTAAACTTATTAAATTAAAATTTCATTGAAGATCTACCATAGAAAAGTGAAAATTGTCTTAATTTCATTTTTAATCCCTTTTAAATTTTTTTGAACTTACAGGGTAAAATAATAAATTGTAAACTTTTTAAATTTAAATGTGGATGTACTATAGATAAGTGACAATTGTCATAATGGCCATTTTTAATCTTTTTTGAATTTTTTTGAAGCAAAAGGGTAAAATAATAAATTATAAACATCATTAATTAAAATTTAAATGAGGATGTACCATAGAAATGTGACAATTGTCATAAACGTTTATTTTAATCTTTTTTGAATTTTTTTTAAGCAAAAGGGTAAAATTATATATTGTAAACATGTTAAATTAAAATTTCAGTGGAGATCTACCATAGAAAAGTGACAATTATCATTTTTAATTTTTTTGAACTTAAAGGGTAAAATAATAAATTGTACACATGTTAAATTAAAATTTCAGTGAATATGTACCATAGATAAGTGACATATCTAATTCTCAACTCCCTTTTGAAATTATTTTAATATATATATTTTGAAATTATCACATTACTCATAGTCATATCCATTATTTTTAAATTAGGTTAATATGATCTTGTTGGGAAACACTTAAACCTCTGGGCAGATGATAATAGTATCATATATGTTAAATTTTTAGAGCCAACCAGAACGGAGTTGAACTAGAAAGATGCATCAATATAAACACGATATTTTTGGGAACAACAAATTTAAAAATATTTTTTCTTTAATCTTTTAAATCAATTTTAGATCTTAGAAACTACTATTTGGATATATCTAGTAAAATACGCCCCCCTCTGATTATACTATTCATACAAAAAATCTAAATCAGTTATATATATGAATTTTTATTTATTAAAATTTCAATGTAAACAATAACTTTATAATGAAATAGGTTATATAAATAATTATTTAAAATATCACATTATTTAACAATGTACGATTAAGCTATATAATTAAAATATCATCAAGTATATCTTTGTCTAATCTTGTCCTTAGAGAGGTTACAGTTAGTGCCAATGCACTAAATGCTCTCTCAACTGAGATTTGGGTGCAAGGAGCAGCAAGAATTATTTGAGATAATTTAAATAATTCTGCATCTTGGTGTTTTCTTGAAACCCAATATTGCAAAATATCTTGTGAGGATGGCAATCTTTTGTTGTATAATAACGATTTTATTTTTAGCTTGATATCGCTATTACATAATTCATAAAATATAGGTCCCTTCTTGCAATCACGCTCAATGTAAAGGTCAAGTTTTGTTTTTTTATAATCACTAGTGGAAGGCATAACTAGAGTTGTATTTTCTTCATGAGGGTCAATAGCTTGCAATTGTTTCCAAGTTGCAAATATATGTTCCTAAAATAAAAAGATGTATATTATAAATTTATTAATTTACCCTGGCCAATATTTTATCTTCTTCCAAAGGATATTTTCCATTTTCATAATGGAATCTATGATCCATATATATCGCACTACGAAATGCGTCATTTTGAAAAAGATAGCTTTCTCTAATGTTTAAACATTCCAACATACTTTTAGATAAATTATTATCCATTTCCTCCAGCTCCATTTTGCATTCTAGCCATGAAGCAAAAAAATCACCTATTACAATATTACTTTTTTGTAATTTCATTGTGAATTTGTATAATGGGAAAAGGACTGATGTACCTAATAGGATAAGATAGAAGAATCGATTAAAAAATGCTCCTTTAGAATATCTTTGAGATTTTTTTTATTTTGCATTATATATAAAAAAAAATTTTGTAATTTTTAATTTTAACTTTCTTGTTTTTTCCTTTTATTTTTATTTTCACTTGTTTATTATATTTTGAAATAAAAAATCAGGAATTAATGTTATATAAAATAAAAAAAATGAATAAAATAATTGTTTTATTGAGGCCAAATAAAACCCCCATTTATAAATTTGGATGGGATACATTTATTTAATGTTTTTTTTTTATATTTATAAAAAATCAAATGTTAAATGAAGATATAAAAAATGCATTTTCTTTTCGTTTTTCCCATTGTCTCTCTCTCTCCCTCCTTTATTTATTTTTATTTAATGTTTTGCCTTATGAATTAAAGAAAATAAAAATCTCAAAAAAATGAAATTCTGGTGCCAGCGAGGCGGCACCAGATTGAAAAAAAAGTATTATATAATTTTTTTTTTAATTGAATTCAAATTTTTTTTTAATTTTCATTGCTGTAATGGTACCCAAAACCGATACGTTTTCCCCCTTGAAGGAGGGAGTTTGACGGATGGCCTCTTATTCTGTTTATGGCTATTTATATTTTTTCCTGACTCCAATTGCTATATTTCTTTTGTGATTTATGATAGGTATCAGAGTTTATTGTAGAAAAATTTATTTGATTGGGTTAAGAATTATTTGTTATACCAAATAAAACTGAATTTGAAATATTTTGAGAATAAGATGGTTCTTCCTGTGAGGAAAAATCTAAAAGATTATATATAATAAACAATATAATGTTAATTGGTACCAACATGTAGATGTAGAAAGATTTAAGAGACCTGGAGATAGTGACTATTTTACTAATTTTGTAATTTTTAATATCTTAAAAAATGGGAATTTTATTTCCTGGGAATTATATTCATAGATTCTTTTTAATGTTTACCTAATAGATTTTAAATAATAAACTAAAGTTAAAATTTTTTAGCCCGCTAATTGTTAAAATTTTGTAACCGATTCGCTCGCACTTTTTAAAATTATTAAGCTAGGCCGCCCATGGATGGGCTTCAGCTAAAAACCTGCTCGTTTCACCAAATAAATTCTAAAATGATCATAATGATTATGACAATTGTCATTTTTCTATGGTACATCCTCATTTAAATTTTAATTTAACATGTTTACAATATATAATTTTATACTTTTGCTTCAAAATAATTCAAAAAAGATTAAAAATAACGATTATGACAATTGTCACTTTTCTATGGTAGATCTCCACTGAAATTTTAATTTAACATGTTTACAATATATAATTTTACCCTTTTGCTTAAAAAAAATTCAAAAAAGATTAAAATAAACGTTTATGACAATTGTCACATTTCTATGGTACATCCTCATTTAAATTTTAATTAATGATGTTTATAATTTATTATTTTACCCTTTTGCTTCAAAAAAATTCCAAAAAGATTAAAAATGGCCATTATGACAATTGTCACTTATCTATGGTACATCCACATTTAAATTTAACAAGTTTACAATTTATTATTTTACCCTGTAAGTTCAAAAAAATTTAAAAAAGATTAAAAATGACGATTAAGACAATTTTATGTTTCTATGGTAGATCTTCAGTGAAATTTTAATTTAATAAGTTTACAATATATAATTTCTTCAAAAAAAATCAAAAAAGATTAAAAATAACGATTATGACAATTGTCACTTTTCTATGGTACATATTCACTGAAATTTAAATTTAACAGGTTTACAATATATATTTTTACCTATTTGCTTATAAAAAAATTCAAAAAAGTTCAAAGATAACAATTATGATAATTGTCACATTTCTATGGTACATCTTCACTGAAATTTTTATTTAACATGTTTACAATATATAATTTTACCCTTTTGCTTCAAAAAAATTCAAAAAAGATTAAAATAAACGTTTATGACAATTGTCACATTTCTATGGTACATCCTCATTTAAATTTTAATTAATGATGTTTATAATTTATTATTTTACCCTTTTGCTTCAAAAAAATTCAAAAAAGATTAAAAATGGCCATTATGACAATTGTCACTTATCTATAGTACATCCACATTTAAATTTAAAAAGTTTACAATTTATTATTTTACCCTGTAAGTTCAAAAAAATTTAAAAGGGATTAAAAATGAAATTAAGACAATTTTCACTTTTCTATGGTAGATCTTCAATGAAATTTTAATTTAATAAGTTTACAATATATAATTTCTTCAAAAAAAATCAAAAAAGATTAAAAATAACGATTATGACAATTGTCACTTTTCTATGGTACATATTCACTGATATTTTAATTTAACAGGTTTACAATATATATTTTTACCTATTTGCTTTAAAAAAATTCAAAAAAGTTCAAAGATAACAATTATGATAATTGTCACATTTCTATGGTACATCTTCACTGAAATTTTTATTTAACATGTTTACAATATATAATTTTACCCTTTTGTTTCAAAAAAATTCAAAAAAGATTAAAAATAACGATTATGACAATTGTCACTTTTCTATGGTACATCCACATTTAAATTTCAATTTAACATGTTTACAATTTATTATTTTACTCTGTTGCTTCAAAAAAATTCAAAAAAGTTCAAAAATAACGATTATGACAATTGTCACTGCTCTATGGTACATCCACATTTAATTTTATATTTAATAAATTTTTATCTACTTGCTTTAAAAAAGTTCAAAAATAACGATTGTGACAATTTTTACAATCATTAAAACCATCTCGAAACATGCTCAAAAAATTTTTTCTCGCCTATTTAATACCTAAAAATAAAATTATTTTTATAGGTTCTGTTATGAATATTATGACAATTGTCACTTTTATAGTTTACACATTATATTAATTCATGTTGAAATAATCATTTTTCTCTATTTCCAATTAAAACATATGTTATTATGACAATTGTCACCTTTATATGCTTTACAATCACTGAAACCATCTCAAAACATGCTCAACTAGCCTTTTTTAATTATAATTATTTTTAAAGGTTCTGAGATGAGTATCATGACAATTGTCACTTTTATAGTTTACATTAAATATAAAACATTAAAATTATGACATTACATTTTTAAAATAATCACTATTACTTATTCCAAATATTAAAAAAAATGCAGTCGGTATAATGACCAATTCTCACTATTCAAAAAAAATATTTTCATTAACATAATAAAATAAAAAAAAATATATATCAAAAATTTTATTTTTAAATAATTTACCAAAAAATTTTAAGATCAAAATTTCAAAAATATTTTAATAAAGATTTCCTTACAAAAGATTTTATTTTATTATAAAATTCTCAAAATATTTTCTCAAAATTATAGAAGATTTTTTTACAAAAAATATTTTTTATTTTGCTCAAAAATCTTCTTTGAGCAAGCTCAAAATTTTTTTTAGCGAAAAAATCTTCGCATATTTTGATCTTCAAAAGAGCAACGATCTGTGAAGATTTTTGAATTTTGAGCAAATGTTAAACCCTGGTTCTGGATACCTTATTTTAAACAAGATTATAAAGAAAGACAGGTTTTGACTTGTCCTTTAATGGTAGAACACGACTTTCAATTCGCATTTATTTTTCAATTCAAAATACACATTTTTGTAAAAAAAATACAATTAATATATTTACTTTTTTATGAAAAAAATTTAACATTCAGTTGCCACTCCTTTAAATCCCTATGCTCAGAATATTTACGCTCGTTCCCTCGCTCAATCTTTCAATAAATCTGAACCCTCTGGAGCCACACCTCTGAACGTTCCGGCCGGTTTCCCTCCGTTGACCATAAACGCACCGCCAATGTTCCCCGTTTCGACCGCGCTTTATCAACAACCACAGCTTTTCCAACCCAGACCTTTTTTCGATAATAACGGTAATGTTAAATTTATTTTTTACTTGAAAGGGAATATTTAAAAATTTGAGCCCTTTTTATGTATTTTATACCTTGTCTTAACTTGAATAAATTGGTTACGAATTTCATATTAATATTATTAAGCTTAAGTGTCCAAGTTGCATGTTAGTAACTAAATTTCGGAATCATATGTTATTCTTTTAAATGAACACATTTTGAATTATATGAATTCCGGTTTAAATGGTTGGACATACGAATCAATTTATTCATTAAATTCGTAGCTAAATTAGTCAATTCATGACGAGATATTAGAAAGCACTCTATTAAAATCGAATTGCGACAAATAAGTTAATTATAACCTATCTCTTTTAAGTGTCGTGATAGTAACGCGAAGTTGTAAATTTTATTATTGCCACTTAATTTTGAACCAGGGTTCAATAATATTTACTACTCTAACACGTTATAATATTCTCCCTTTAAACGCTTGAAAAATTTATAATTCCTTGAAACAAAGTTCTTAATTAATTCATTGGTTCTTAGTAAAAAAAAATTTTTTTCCCTTTTTTTTAAAAAAATACTTCTAGCTCATTACCCACAATACCAAGTTCCTCCTACGTATTATAACGGTCCTGCCACATCGAACCCCCAGATTCCGGGAGGTTATAACCCTATTACCTCTCATGCTACTGGTCCCTCTTTCGTTCAAGGTACTAATTATCCATATGCTGGAATCAACTTCCAACCGGATCCGAATATTCCTCAGCATCGCCCTTCCATGCCTCCGCCCACATCCCAATACACCTCCTATTGAGCGTCTACGCTTATAATGTTAATCTCCGTGGTTTTATATGAAAATTTTTTTTTTTAGGTATTATGACACTGAACATGGCTGACTTTTTTTTTACGATGTATTTTTTATTATTATTATATTTATTATATAACCAAATTCCCAAAATCAAAAAATTTTTTTTTTTTTAAATTTATTTCAACCTTCATATCTTTTAGAGAAAATGTCTATCATAAAAATTTGGATTTGTCTATTTTTTTTATTATTAAGGATTGAAAATCTTTTTGTTTTTTATACCCAAAATATTTATCGTTTTATTAAATCATTTTATCTATTCATTCATATATATGGCCTAGCGTTGTCGAAAACCTCGATTTACGCAATTTTTTTTAAAAATTGGGCGGATCCAAGATTTTAGCTAAAAAGTCTTGGAGATCTGGTCGGCTGAGAAGAACGAAAACTTTTTTTTACCCACATGAAATCTCGGAGCTTAGTTAATATTTCTTTGGCTCTTGTTTTTGACGTTTTGGATCGAAGTTTTCGACTACTATTACGCAAAGTGTCATTTCAAAAGATATAATTGTAATTTGGATAAAATACGTTTACCTTAAATGTTATAAAATCGATATTATAAATTACTTGGTTATCTATATTTATTATCTATAATTAATTTCCTATTATTTTTAACGAGATATTTAAAAAAATAAAATAAATGAGTCTTATCTGAGGAGTTTTTTGTGTGCTTACCGAAATCAGTACTAATGGCTCTCTTGAGCTGCCTTTGGCAAAGGGAACGCTTTGTTTTTTTTCCCTTCAGAATTCGAAAAATATATCACTTTCAAATTTCACTAATATCAATGAAAAGACATTAGACGATTTCTACGCAAATTTGATTGGCAAGAGAACGCCTTATTGAATTGAGAGATGTCATTTAAAATTAAATTTTTTATTTATAAATAATATTTCTTTAATTATAGATAGTGATGATATCGCTGAAATAAATATCAAAATCTTGACTTGTTTCCTAATTTTTTATAGGTCTGCACGGATTTGAATCCTTCGAATAAAAATGGGATAGGGTTGGGAGATGAAGATTAAAATAAAGGGTTAAGGGTTCGGCCAGCACAAAGTGACCCAATAATTAATCAAATACAATTTTTTTTATATTCGAATCCATAGATAATTTAACTAGCAAGTTTAAAATTAATTTTATGAGTTTTAAACCACTTTTGCGCGGGAACAAACTATTAACACTTCCGGGATTTGCACAACTAAACTATTAAGAATATAATGAATTACGCATCTATTTTCTTTAATTTTTTTATTCTCAAAAATTATCCACATTAAAATCTGTTTTAAAACACAAGCCATTATTATGAACAAGAATTAAAGATGACAAATTAATTTATTAAAATAATATACTATAGTTAATCAAAATAATTTCTAAAATAACATAAATAAAACTGAATCGTAAAAATATAGAGTGAAAAAAATTATTAAACTTTACTTTATCTTGTATTATTACATTTTCGATCTGGCTATGTTATACTACTAAAAATTTACATACCATCTATAATTTCATATTAGTGTTTTACAAAGGTTTGGATGTTAAACGGCTCGTTTTGAGCCGATTTTTAAAAATGGCTAACTCACTACTTCATCCAGAAAAATATGTTTGAATATTCCGCTTATAGAAAGAACAAAGGTTTATACATATATTATCGAAATCTGGAGGCTTAACGCAATATTTTTCTGGCTAAAAGATTGAGTTAGCCGTTTTTAAAAATCGGCTCAAAACGAGCCGTTTAACAACACTACGAAACCTCAAGGCTTAGGCAACGTTTTTCCGGCTAAAATATTGAGTTAGCCGGTTTTAAAAACCGGCTCAAATCGAACCGTTAACATGATATTTTATTTCCCCTAAATCAATTATTTTTATATAATTCTAATTTAATCGAACAAACATAAACTTGTTACGATGAATACCCTCTTTAAAATTTCCGCGCATAATCTGACCACATGTATTTCGAGGAATATGATTGCTCGTAAATTTAAATTTGAATATCTAGAAAAATTGTTCTTTGACTTTATTAAATTATATGTTACTGTTTTGTTTTAGCATTTTTATTTTCTAAAATTGATATAAAAAAAAATAAACTAAGCAATAATTATCATTTTATAATAAAATTTTACATGTAAAAACGAAGGCAGAAAAAAAAACTAAAATCAATGAAAAATCATTTCCACGGAAAAAATCTTTATATTTATTTTTCACGAATTTATTTATAAAATTTGTTATTTAAATTTGATATCTTGAATCCCTCAACTTTTATAAATGGTTGGGTTTCAGCAAAAACAAGAGAGTTTGTGTTGACATCCGAGGTCCCGGTTTTTGAAAAATCGATAAACAATAGAGCAATATAATATTTTAACTAGTGTTGTTAAACCGTTCGTTTTGAGCCGATTTAAAAACGGCTAACTCAATATTCCATCCAGAAATATAATACGCGAGCATGAAGATTTTGCTCATAGAAGGAATAAAGGTCTAGACATATATTATCGAAATATCGAGGCTTAGGTTATATTTTTTCTGTAAGCTCAAAAGCGAGTCATTTAACAACACTAATTTTAACTTAAAAGGTAATCTTCTTCAAAATTCCTTAGATTAGGTTTATGACTGTATCTTGTTGAACCAACGTTTTATCGTCGGAAGTTGAATTTCTAAAGCAAGCCTATATATCTTTCATTCCAAAGTGGTTGCATGATAAAATGTTTAAGGAATAATAGTGGGTTAAAATTATGAGATTTTGACGATGCTTTGAATGATAAAACGATGAATGTCAAATTATATTGTTCAGATTTTGCCAATTGCATATATAATACTTCATTTATCCAGTAAAATACAGTTTTAAACATGTATGCAAAATCAGCTGAGGACGCTAGCAACGACATGTTGATCCCCCCGATATTTAAAGTAAGATACTAAATTTAAGTATCTGTTAAAAATAGTCCATTTTCTTCACTAGGAGTTAATATAAATATTACTTTATCCGATTCTCTGAGAAACTTTCATGAATATTTAGAGGAATGTTCAAACTTGAATGTGCAGTACGGCCAATTTCATCAACTTTATTAATGGAAAAATATGCAGTAGTTCTGTCGTGGCTTTTATAACAATTCTTACTACCTTTTTATGGTTGAGTTAACATTGTCGTTCATGATTCTATCTTAGAGGGGGATACCAATGCTGACATTGACAGAAATATCATTTTGCATTCTTCTTTTACCAGTATTCCAAGGCATAGGCATATGCATCATCTTTATCAGGACGTAATGTGTTTTGTACACTGCTTTCGTAATCCGTCATTACTTTCATCTACAACCCTAAATGATATAAAATTATACATAAATTATTTCCTCTCCAGACGACCGCCCAATTTATTTTGTCGCTTTTTCCATGAAAAATTAAAATACCAACAAGGATTTGCTCTTTATTTTATCAAATACACAAAATAATAATTATTCCTCATTATTTTTAAAAAAAATTAGCATAAATTTATACGTCAATAAAAAATATTTTCTTAAAAAATATATAAATAATTTGCTTATAAGTTTCATTAGTGTTTAAAGGCATTTTTGTAATTTAAATAGATAGCATTTTTTTTTTTACTTAACATAAAAATATAGACAAATAATTTCGGAAATGAAAGACATACATTAAATTTATCTGAAAAGCAACAATAACCCTATAATAATAAACAACAATTTATTTTTTTAGATATAATTTTAATTGATCATATTACCAAAAAGTATAAGAGTCGGTTATTTTTATTTTATTTGTCATGATTCTCTAATAAGTGGTTTGCCCAGGTCTTCCCACTTTCCCTTAATACGGAATTCACATGTTTTTTTTTACATCAGACTAATTGGTATGATATCGATATTTTTTAAAATATACATTCACTTTTATATATATATTCTTTTTTTTTATTTTTATATTTTGTTTACATGTTTTAAAGATAAATGAATAATAATTATATATTTATAAAAAATTAAAAATTTAACTATCGTGGTGAAAAAAATTTTCAAAATTATATTGGATATGATTGGGCTTGGAAAACCTCAAAATTAATATTAAGAATATCTTTTAACAAATTTTTAAGGGTTGCGCTGGGCTTGATAAACTTTTTTTATAATTATAAGATTTTGGATGTTTCCCAATATTGCGAGCTTGAAAACTTTCTATTCATTTAATGAAAGACAAAGACAAAACTTGTCTTTTCCATCACCACAATATACAAACATGTTTTTATTACTTTGAAAACCAAACTTTATTTAATACAAGACAACATTAACACAAATCTTCAAATGACAAAAAAACAAAAAACGAGGAAACAAGAGGGGTTCAATGTTAATTATATCAGAAAAATTACTAAAACGAAATTCTAATATAAGAACCAACTCAGAATGAAAACTATCAATTAATGAACTAAATTAAAACTTATAAATTAAATGCCACGCGAACTAATTTTTGGATTTATATCTTTATTAAATAAAAATATTCATCAATTTACAAGGGTCAAAAATTAAAATCGCAAAAATATTATTATAATTTCAAAAGGTTTTATTCAATAAAAAAAAAGGTTATCAAAAATTGAAAAGTCACAAAAATCAAAAATTAATAAATTTTAAAAGTGATAAAAATTAAAAGTGATTTTCTTTTTTCACAAAAATATGATATCTATTAATTTTTAATATTTGAAAAATGACTGACATTTTTCTAACTAAATACAAAACATAGATAAAAATATGATTGACATTATCCGATAAATGTATTATTTATGACATTTGTCGTCTATTATCTGTTTTTACAGTCAGATGACTGTTTTAAAGAATAAGAAGATTTTTATGATATTGGTAAGGTTGGTGGATATTTTTGTTTAAAAGAAAATTTGTTTTGTCTGGCCAGTTGCCAGGGTAAGTGACAGTTTGGTTTTAAAAAAAAAAAAATAAGAAAAGTTTATGAATAAACATGTGTGTGCCTCATCTAGTTTACATCCTATAAGTAGGAGTGAGGATAAATTATTTTGAAATTGTCGTTTTTGTTTTTGGTTATTAATTATTTTTGTTTATGGGCAACAATGTACACACTATATATATGCCTTTATTTTGGTATATCCTCATTAAATTTTGTTTTAAAATAAAATATTTTTACAAAAAAAAAAAAGTAAATTAATTTATATTAAAAATTTAAAATTTTTTTAAATTAATTTTATATTAAAAATAAAAATTTTTTAAAAAAAAAAAATAAGTTAAAGCGAATTAATTTTATATTAAAAATTAAAATTTTTAAAAGAAAATTTAAAATAAATCTCCCGTTGCAGCTGATCTCCACATATTCCAGACGATAAGAGCCATGGAAACTACCAGTCGATTAGTCGATCTAGGGTCCTGCTACATTCAAATTACCTTGATCCCCAAGAATACCGGTATGACGATACCAGCCACGATGGTACTAGATAATTCGATGATGTCTGGAGGTCCCCGTATCAAGAAATGTTTCCATTGTCGAAGCAATGACCCTATTCGAAGCCAGTGCCCAAGCTTAGGAAGAGACGGGCGAGCGCCTCTAGCCCCTATC